TATATAAGTAATTTATGTATGATAATCTTAAGTTATTATTTAAACTTTTTCACTACTAGTAAATAGTAATTAAGTTGTCAAATATTAATTGTGACGGATTGTTACAATATTTAATATATCTTATTAGATATCTTGAGCCCTCAATGTTAATATTTCTCAAATGACAATCGGCTTCTATGTGCGGGGCTTCACCGCTTCACTCTTTTTGAATCCATAATTTGTTTTAGATTTTGTTAATAAATATCTTAAAGGTATTTGTTTAATACTTTTTTTATTTTTGTAAAGAAAAACTAATCCGAAATTAGAACGAGATAAACTGCCAAATCTGAAAATTTGAGATAGTTCAACAGTTGCAAGTTTTTGGGCCCAACAGAAATCAGGTCTAGTGGACCACTACACTAGCAACAACGTATTCCTATGTCTTAGCCTCATGATATGCATACTTTCTTTTTTATAAATACACCTAATTTTTTTTTCAAAAAAATAATAAAATTTTAAAATATTCTTAATTTTTATAATTTTTTAATTTTTCACTCTCAATATTTAATTTAATACTTTTTTTTTCACATACATTCTTTCATTTTTTCAACTTTCACATGTATTTCCTTACATTTCCTCCACCTCCACCTATTTTAGTAGATAGTTTTAATTCTTTTAGTTTTACATTACTCTCTTCTCCCTTTCTTTTTCATTTTTTTCACTATTATCTTCTCCCTACCCACTTTTAGTTTTCACACGCACTCAGAACATATAACTAATTTTCGAAAACAGTATATTCGCGTGTGACTTTCTTAATAGTGTCGAAAGTATTAAGTCAAATGTGCATTTTTTCTTTGAGCACTTCTCCAACTTACACGTATAAAAAATACGACATCAAATAATTTTAGTGTTTCAGAAAATACTTTTTGGAATAGTAAAATTAATGTTATCGAAAGCATGTCTCAAAATTGAGTTTTTAATATACTTTTGAAAAGTACTTTTCGAAACAATAAATTTAATGTTCCAGAAAGTACTTTATGGAATTATGAAAAATAACATACTTTCGAAAAGTACTTTTCGAAACATTAATTCTATTATTCTGGAAAATACTTTTAGAAAGTGTGTTATTTTACATATTTTGATAAAATACTTTCTGGAACATTAAATTTATTGTTCTAGAAAGTACTTTCTGAAAGTATGTAAAAAATACAATTTTGCACAATACTCCAGAATAGTAAAAATGTCTTTTTCATAATGTTAAACTTAATGTTAAGGTTTTTGGAGGGATAAAAGAATAGAAAGTATTAGAAGAAAAAAATGTGTGTCTAGTTTAGTAGAAATTGTTGAGGAAGCCATATGTATCTACAATGCTGTCGTGTACCATTTTTACAATCTGAGTGCATGTGAAAAAAGTGAAAGTGGTGAGGGAAGAAGAGATTAATGTAAAAATTGAGAGAATTAAAACTACCTACTGAAATAGGTGAGAAATTAGAGAAAAATAAGAAAGTGCACGTGAAAACTAAAATAGAGAATAAAAGAAGTGTGTGAAAAAGAAGAAGAAAATAGTAAATTAAAAATTAGAGGTGTAAAATTAAAAAATTAAAAAAACTATGAATATTTTAGGAATTTCTTTTTAAAAAAAATAAAGAAAGTGTACTTATATATAAAAAATGAGGTGTATATATCATGAGCCTCTTTCTTTTCTGATTGGGCCAAAAAAGACATAGAAATGTGACCTAACGCGTATAATTTTGTACTTAGATTTTGACCATATAGTTTTGTACTTGGATTTTGACCCAATTGCATTAGCATCATCCTTAGGCTCAACAAATCTACTAGTAGTGGATAACAACTAATAACTTAAAATTATAAGTTTATTGATATCTGGTAATGTACTGTATACCTTACATATGAAAGTTAAACAACTATACAAACATAAATGATATAGATACAATGATCCAATAAAAGTAAACTATACAACATAAGTTGTTGGTTAAACAACTCCTACTATCAACTAGCTATTCCAAAGTAGCTTAAAATATCAACATTGCTAATCTCAATGTGGCCTCCAAAATAACTCCTACAAAAACTTATATCTACTCTACTCTCATACTAAGTATAATCATTGTAGTCCATCTACATGAAAACACACAATGGTAAGTTAGAGTTTAAAAAGATAACATATATATACAACACAAACGTCAACAACATTAATATATCAACACATCTTCATTGCACCTTCAACACTATCAACATATAGAATTACTACACAACTAACGTATATCAACATGAACAACTTAGTCTACTACAACACAATATCAACTTGAACATCACTACATCAACAACTCAATTTTTTCATCACAACAACATAATATATACAACACAACAACTATATGCATTGTCACACATTTCAACTAGGAGATCTCCTATAATACATGGTGAGCAATTTAAGTAGTTTGATCTTGTCAGACCAACAACACAAGGTGATCTTTTTGGCTTGTTAGATCAACAACAAATTGGTTATCAATCCACAACACAACAATTTGGTTTCTCAAATGTCACCACTTAAATAAGGAAATCTAATACTACTATTAGGATAAAACAATCGGGTATAGACCTGCCACAACATTAGCTAGCTTAACTAAGCTTCCTACGAGATTAACCCATCAACTACCCTCCAAATACTATGCCATTCCAATACTCGATTAGAAACTAAGTTTCTGACCTCATACTTTACTTAATTGGTCACTTATAATCAATATAACTCGACCTTGCCCCTATACTATGGTCTCTTTATACATGTGTGCTTCGACTTTGTCCACACACGATATCAATTAAGGCCATAGAGGAGACTCAACTATCCTCTTTAAAGGTCAACTTTCTAAGAAGATTTTTTCAACAAATTAGGCTCTTAGAGCACCACAACATAATATCTACACAATGAGTTATGCAACTTTAAAAACAAATTTTCCTCTAATCCTAAATTGGTCATCACAACTCAATAACACCAAGCCTAAATGCTTAAAGCATCCTCAACATTCATCATCTCAACAACATAGCAGCATCATGCTTAAAGCATATTCAACATAACTACATCACCAACACACAACATACAACACGCAACATACACCTTAACTCACTTTTAACTCTCAATCATCTATCATCTCTAATTACCATTTTATATTAAAACACACGTGCACGTGCGCGCGCGCGCACACACACACACACACACACACACACACACACATATATATATATATATATATATATATATATATATATCATAATCAACATTTAACAACTTAAAACCAATCAATTATATTCATCACAATCAACACATAATTGTACTCAAAATCATCATGCAACAACTAAACATCAAATCACCATTTTCGTTTTCAACATGCTTCAAAACTCAAACCCCAACCCTAATCCTTTCATCCCAAGCACCACAACCACAATTTAAAGGAAGAATCACTATTTGAAACTCAAAACATTAGATAAGAACACATTTTAATTTTCCTTACATCAAGATTAATCAAAAAAATGAGAAAGAGAAGAAGAAGATCCCACACGACTCCAAGAAGCACCACAGACACACTAACTTGACCTTAGGTTCTATAACTTGAATCAACAACAATACAACACATGTGAACTTAAAGGAAGAATTGGGGAGGATTTAGAGGGAAAGGAAGCTCATAAACCAGAGTCCTTCTCTCTAGAATTCCTTTAAGTTTTTGAAGATATTCAAACTTATGAAACTTGATTCAAAACAAAAATTTTATATACTTCTCCTTTCAAGCTCAAATTAAACTTCTGTTTAGAGAAATCTTCAACACTACTTAAACTGATAAGAAATTCTCAGATTTTATAGTTTCTCAACACAAAACAACACCTCAACATAACAATCAACATATAATTAAAACAATTACGACATTTAACAACATATAATGATGTCTATTTTTAATATTTTTATGATATATATATATATATATAATATAAGTATATTAATGATTTAGTTAATTTTTAATTTTAATTTATTTTTAGCAATAGTTTGATTTTTTAAAAAATGAAACAACATTTTGTAAGTACTTATGAAATAATGTATTTAAATTCTTTAAAGTTGTATAAACACTTATTAACATGTAAATTTTAATACAAATAACTGATTAAATTTTAAATATTTATAATATAAGTTCTTATATATTAAAAATTATTGAAAATATCTTAATTAAATTGTTTGTCTAAACAATCTTTAAGTGCTTTTTTAATCTTATAATACATTTTAATATAACTTTTTATATTAAATCATATTTATAATTATTTTTCCAAATAATTTTTTTACAATTATTTCAATTAATATTAAATGTAATTGAATAATTATAAATATTATTAAAACTATTTATAACAAAAAAAACACTATATTACTATATTAGTAATTTTTAATTTAAACTTTCATATATTTTTATCGTCGGTATTTAAAATTTTTGATATATTTAATTCTTTTTCCTAGCAATACTCAATCAGGAGAAGAAGATAATTGACATCTGTCGAATTTGACACCGCATTAACAGGTGTTTAATCTGACCTGACATGCCACCTTTTTTAAGCTTATTATTTTGTATTTTTTTGCAATATAACGATTTTTTTTTCTAGTTCTTTTCCGCCTTTGAATTTTGTAATAATTACATATTAAAATACCAATATATCAAATTTCAATAATTTTATATTTTAATATTATTAGAAAGGCTAAGTTTCAATTTTTAAACATTATCTATTGATCCATAATGAGAGAAATCCAGAGCCATGGATGCAACAAGATCCACCTACCTCGACGCTCGTTAAATCTTATCCTTTTATCCCTTTGCTTCAGTTCAAAGAATTTTCCAATCATGGGCTAATTCCAATTTTTTTTTTTATAATTATCATCAACCCTTAGTAAATCACTGCAAATCAAGCTAATACACGTAATGTTCTCACAAAGTTTATCGTGACTAATCACCATAATATTATTTAATTTAGTACGCTGAATATTTTTTTTTTATATATAAAAAATAATAAGTTATTTCAGTAAGAATTTTGGCGAGCAGGAACAGCAACACGTGTCTCTTTCAACAGGAGTGTTCCATTGACAGTTCCACTGCTATGCTAATATTGTTCCTTCTCTTTCCATCTACCCTTCTGAGCAATTCAACATAGTGACGGTGGTGACGTCAAAATTCGAAGCCAATAGAAAGAAGATGGGAAGAATCTTCACGGTGGAGCTCGAGGGCAGGTCTTATAGATGCAAGTTCTGCAGAACTCACTTGGCCCTTGCAGATGATCTCATCTCCAGGGTAGTTAATTGCTTACCTTATGCTTGCTTTTATATTCTGTCAACTTTTCTTGTTTTCTGTAAATTGTTGTTGGAGTAACTGTCTGTGATGCATCCTTGAATGAAGCATACCTTCAGGACATTGGTTTTTGTTTTATAGACATTTTTAGTAGGTGAAAAATGAACATTTGTTCTGAGATAGTATAAGGTGGGTGAGATTTAAGAACTATGTGCTGGTATTTGTAACATGGTCTAGTGTGCCTTGATTGGTTACAAAATTAAGCTTTGATGTTTTCATGTTTATAAGTATGTATTTTCTAGAGTGTTGTGCCTGGATGGGCTTGGGGGGTTAAGCCTTTAGTGTTAGATACTGATGCCACATTGAACAGTAATCTTGTAAGTTCTACAGGTTGAACCTTCACAATCATGTACTCCCACATTTGCTTTCAACATTATTTCTACGTCGAATAGAAATAAGACTAATAAAATATATTAGTAAGAGACAATCTTTATCTTATAAGTCAGATTCAGTTTTGTAAGGTTGTGTTAGACTTTAAATCCACTTTCTAAGATCTCATCATAGTTATCTGGATTCTCTAAAATGGGCCACCACTATTGATTGACTTAGACTTCAAACTCACTTTCTAAGATGTCATCGGAATTATCTTAGATTTCCTAAAACGGGCCACTCACCATTGATTGACTTAGGCTCTAAACCTACTTTCTAAATTAATCAATGTCAACAATGTATTTTGAGTTGTTGGATTGTTATTGGATTTTTTCTGTCCTGTATATAATTGTGTCTCTTACTCTGCCTGCCTGGAAAATATGTACTCTTTCACAATTTCTAGCAGCTCACCATATCTTTAGTTACCCTTTATGATAATTTTGCTATTACAATTTGAAGGTGATCAAAGT